GCTGGATGTCCACTGGGAGGCAGCGTTTGACTTCCTGTGAGCATTTCCCAGGATTCAGATGAGACAATCTGCACTGAGGCAGCAAAAAAACTGATGATGCAGCATTTTAAAGTGTGATTCTATTCCTGTTTAAGCAGCCTTTAGCTTCCATTCCTACGCCATGAAAACTAAAATTAGAAGAAACTTGCAGATGAGGCAAAATTCAATTTAATATAAATCTTATAATCCTGCTAAAACATATTGTTTGCTCTGTATCGTCTCACCGTGTTTTAATTTAACCCTATAATGCCAAATGTATCATATTTGATTCATACGGTTTCTGAAATGTTTTGCGTCTGACACCTTTTGCTTAAATTAATGGTAAAAACTTTGCTCAAAATCCTATTGTACACAATCAGATACGACTGATAACAGGGGCCAGAGGACTACACTAAAAATAATCTTGACTTATCATATAGTAATATATTATTAATATTAAAAATGTATTTCTGTTTTTTCTTTTTACATATTTTGTTAAAAGGCCAAATAAGGAATTCAAACCAAAAAAAAAAGGTTTGTTTTATTCTTGGATCGGGCTTTAAAGGGTTAAGCAGCCATTAGCTTTCATTCCTACGCCATGAAAACTAAAATTAGAAGAAACTTGCAGATGTGGCAAAATTCTAATTAATATAAATCTTAAAAAAATATAGTTTGCTCTGTATCGTCTCACCGTGTATTAATTCAATTTACCATTTCAGAAACGGTTAGATATTTAGCAGTAATCTATCTGAAATGTCCTTTGTGATCGTCCTGTTTTTGGGGTCAGGATTCAGTGTCAGTAAATCCGTACGAACAAAAGTGGAGTCAGAGTCAGAGTGTTCTCTCAGGGAAACACACAAACCTCCGATAGAGTCTGATGCATTATGGGAAATCCTATCAGTAAATCTCCACGGGACAAAACATCTCTGTGGAACAGTACAAAATTAAAACTGGTTTGGGGAGCTCTGATCCCCCGTGATGAGGCGAACTGAATCACAAACTATTTATATCTGCACGTTAATGCTCCCGGAGCTCAGGAGTTGTGAGTCAGCTGTTGGTGGAGGTGAGTGTGTGTGTGTGTGTGTGTGTGTGTGTGTGTGTGTGTGTGTG